GTTTTTTTTTTTTTTTTTTTCTCACAAATGAAGTCATGTGCCGTGCATTTTGACGTCACCTATCATCCCTTCCCCATCAATTCTCCAATATTTTCTCATTCTCAATCTATAGTATGAGGATCGAGTTAGCTGTGCGTAGCGGTTCGCGTTTTCATTAATGTACAACAATATCCAATTTCGCACAAAAAATTGTCTTAATTTAGGATTAAAACAGAAGATTGTAGTTGTTATTTGTAAATTAAAAGTCACTTATGTATGTCTTTAGTTTCTAAAAATGGCAGTAAGATTTATCTCTAGTTATTTTTTACTACCCACCGAGAGAGTGGGTAACATAGAGAGTGAACCATTCACAAACCTATTCTCATGCGCACTGGTGATTTTTTTTTTTTTTCCAAAAATAAGTAGCTATGATTGTCTGTATTTCATTTACGTGCAGACAGAGGGCCTTCAGATAGTGTGGCAAGGCTTATGTCCCACTTTGCTTCTTCACTCCAACATGTATGGTGGTTAATGGGAGTCCCCAGTAGAAATTCACTAGCGACTGTCTTGGCTTATGTAACATTCTTACTACAACATGTAAGATTACACAACTTGGACCACTAACCTTGCTAGTAATTCTTTGTTAAATTAGCCCTTCAAATATTTTAGGACTTTCCACTGTATTAAGACCAATCAAACAGTGATTTATTTTGCATCTTTGTGGATTTTTATGCATCAGCGGCGCGGGAGCAGAGGTGACAAAATCACTGATCACATTGCTATTCATATATGAGCAAAGCACAAAACCACAAGATCAATTATTACCATTGCTTAAGACTGTCCTGTTTGCTGTTACAGTACCTGGTGGCCTCAGTGTGGCATCTTACTTTTGCTCTTGAAATACAGGAAAAGAGTATGTTTTGTATTACACAGGTTCAGGGTATTGGGCTATCTTCAATTTTTCTTAGAGCACAGCATTGCCACTGCTTACAATTAATTTGATCATCCATATCTTATTGGCTCTTTAATCTTGATACAATAACATTTCAGAACCAGATTCATTTGCATCCTTGGGAAAATGGGTAAACGGAGGGAGTGAAAATTTCAAATTGCCTTGAGCACTAGATTGCCAAGCCACCTATCTTAACATCCTACCTGTTCACTTTAAAACGTAATGAAAACCCTGCCTCTGGGAAGTGCAAAAAACATGCTAGCATTGCACAGCTACATTTAAGTGAGGCTTAAATGTTTTGTTCATTGATTTTACAAAACTACACAAATTTGCACTCAAATGAAATCTTTATAAATATTTCTAAAAAGGTAACTGTACTTTTAACGCAATAAAATAATTATAGAATTCCACTGATACAAATTTTGAAATGGCACAATTCAGTGTACTATACTTTGTCTTATAAAGACTCCACTCTAGGGTTATAAGCTCTAAACAGGTTTTTGTATGTCAAACATACCATATTTTCACTACGTCCAGTATTCAAACAAAATTATAATAATAATTTTCTTGTATGGCTTTTGACAGTTTTTACAGATATCTAATATACAGTTGTGTGTTGTAACACTTTTGATTGTCTCAGCTATTACTATTCACTATGCTAGCATAAAAAATAATGGCAGCTTAAATTTTGCTTTTAGAAATTGCTATATTTCTTTTCTTGAGAATGAAATGTTGCAAAACCAGGAATGACGGGATATAAAGCTGACTTTTGTTACACTTTTCTGAAAGTTTTCATTAGTCCTTCAAAATTAAAAAGACAGGTAAATTATAAATTATTGAATCTTTGTAAATCTCTGTAACATTATTATTACATGGTGGTATAATCACCTTTTCCATTTGACAAATTGTCATGTTTTAAAGTTATGATAATAAAATTGTTGTATTGTATACTGACTAGAATATTAACTTTCATTGTTCAATTTTATCAATAATTTTATCGCAGAAATCCCCATAAGCTTTTACCATCTAGTAAAAAAGTATCTACAGTGCAATCCTACTGATGATATTTTAATTGTTTTTCATTTGTACACTTCTTTTAAGTGTCAATCCAAAACAAATAATCTTCATACATTAACACTCACTTTTCTTGCTTAGATGACTCAGATCAATACTTTTATTTTACAGAGAAATGGTTTCAACTTGAGAACATTAGTAAATTCAGAGCAAAAATGCACATAAGGGAGCGGTCATTAGAGACCTTTAGATTCTAAGACGAGTACGACAACGAGCACGAAATTTTCTCAGTACTAAGTAGGGCTCGCGCGTGAACCAGCGTCATTTTGGCGGGAAAACGTGGCAGCCGTCGTCACTCTACTACGAATTTTAGAGAGAATGTCGAAGTGGGGAAAACGAGTTTTCAAATGTTGGAAGTTTTATCATTTTGCGATCGGGAGAGCGCGTAATCTCCTTCACTAAAGGTAACAGTGCTAACTTTTCTAGTGAAAAATGGTAAAATGAAGCTTTCCAGGGAGTCTTTGTGTCATATTGTAAGGAAAAAAGTAAAGAATGGAGCTTGTCAGGGAATTTCTAGTTAGAAAAAACGCTATTTCTTCTTTTGGGAGGGGTCGGGTGACGGAAAGTAATGGGCGTCTAAATAGTGTGGGGGGGGGGGGGGGGGGGAGGGGGTCGGTATTATTTCTAAAGCAAGGGCTCAAGAATTTTAGCCCCTCTTAGGTTAACAGTTAAAAATCCCGCCCCTCCAAAAATGCGTGCCCAAAAAATTGTAACCCCTTCCGTGTAATAACATTTTGAGTATACGAATGTTGCGCTGCGAGTATCCATATGAACGTAACTTTGAGACAATTTTTTCATTGGAGTAAAAAATAGTGTTAGTATCATTTACATGTATACAAAACCCAAAGTTTCACCAAGTAAAGAAAACCATTGACAGCCCCACTGACACTTCTTGTATTCCTGCCTTCTGCTCCCCCTGAAGAGTGAATAAATTGTGCACGAGAACTTATCAGCGAATAGCAAGAGAAAAATTGACTTTATTCAAGGAAAGTCCGCAGCTCTTGCTCTACCCCTCCAGGCCCTGCAAGTTCGGCCATATCGCATGGTCTGTAAAAGATTCCGAAACTTATTTTCCTCCTGGGCCGATTCGTCTTCCCCTTGGTTATCATTAGAATCCTCTTCGATTCATCATCGCTATCATTCTCTCCGATTTCCTCCAAGACATTACATTTCAGTTGAGATAAGTGAGTCTATGGACTGGAGCGCACTATCTTGTTGTTCCTTCGTAGGTAATTACTTTTGTTTTTGCTAAACAGTCTATGCGACTGTTATGGATTCTTAAGCAAAAAAAGGCGAAGCATGTGGCCAGGGCCAGAACAATTGACGTCCTCAAGAAGGTTGCGCCAGATTTACCGTAGGGAAAGACTTGTGAGAAGGAGGATTTGTGCAGAGACATCGTCAAGAAACTTGCAAAAGGAGAAAAGAAATGAGCGGTAGCTTTGACATCTGAACAGTGAGACTGCGAGAAATCAGAACTAAGCACAACGTTGGGGTTTTCTGGAAATGAGAGCAGCAGTGATATAAGTGATGATGACGCCGAAAGTAGTGACGAAGACGACAGAAGTAGCACCAATGACAACAAAGACAGTCGGAAAGAATAGTGATGGCGGGGCCGATGATAATGATGCCACTAAGCAGACTAAGCAATGTCAGGAGGAGGAATAAGGAAGTGCCTTCGATAGCCTTTGACAGGCACTTTCATAACCTATATTAGTTATCTAAACCTTATTACTGGGAAATATAAGCTGAATGCTGTTACTTCAAGCCAACTTCCACAGGTCGAAAACCGCCCGTTTCCTCACAAAATGACTTTTCGGGTGGTGGCTTCGCTGGTTCAGTCTCGTTGGCTCAAGCATGGCTATGTATGTTTATCACCGCCCGTTCTTCATGAGGAAATGGATCTAACTATCTTCATAGATACTAATCCAAATCCAGGACCGCCTAATTGCTTAAGCTGTCTTTATCTGAACGCTAGGAGTCTAAAGGCCTTTAATTTGTTCCATCTAGTGTTAACCCATCTGTCAAGGTCTGTAAGATCTCCTAGTTTCAGGACCTGGTATACACTGGTATCCTATGATCTGGTTTGTATTTGCGAAGCATGGCTTAATGACACGATGTTAAGCAGCGAACTGATTCCAGGTTATTCAATCTTTCGATGAGATAGAGCTTGTAAGACTGGTAGTGGTGTCCTCATCGCTGTTAAATCAGATCTGCAAGCCATACGCCGTGACGATCTTGAAAGAGACAACACCGAAATGGTAGCTGTTGAAATATTTACAAGCAGCAAGTCACTTATCCTTTACACGTTTTATCGCCCCCCAGACTCGAACAACGTGGATTCACTCCGACCTACTAAATTCATTTTTTAGGGGCAACTCTGAATCTAGTTGTGCGTTAGTAGTTGGTGATTCAACATTCCCGCCTTGGACTGGACGGATTCATCTTCTCCTATCAATATTGGAGGTAATGCAACTGGTGATAATTTTTGTGACTTAATGGGAAAGACAACTTCTTTCTGTAAATCAGCTACCTATCAGTCCTCCTTTTTTAATCACAGTATTTAATTCTGGAACCAAATATGTAACTTAATTCAGCCTAGTGACTTTCTAAACATAAATACTTTTAAGAATAGTATAACTAACTTGTACAAAGATGAATTAGGAAATGTCTTTGACCCCAATAAACCATGTTCATGGGGTCTTGCATTTAATTGTGGGTGCCACTGGCAACAAAAGTTGAATAAGCATTTCTTAAGATTTTTAATGATTTAGCTGGGAGGTGCCCTCCATGGGACTCCAGGTCCCGTTTGCACCTCACCTTCCGGTCATTTTTTTTTTTTTTTTTTTTTCGTTACTGTAACTATTTATTTAGAGAGACTCAGACCAATAAAGTTGATAAAACAAAACAAAACTCAGACACTGCAATGGAAGCACACGAAAATAGCAGTTCAGATGACACTGGCCCCTACTGGAACACATTCAAATCAGCGTCCCTTACTATTGCCTATTGTTTAGTCGTTACATCCGGTCTTCACTGCACATTTGTATACTGTACATATCTAAAACTATGTCGCATTTGTTGAAAAAGAAAAACAATCTGTTCCTGTTACTGTTTAAGACTGACTGAGGTTTGTAAAAGAAGGCTGAGTATAAACTGGACCACTATGAGTCAAGTTAAGTTAAACGCTAAAGGGCTACGCGCGCAAGAAACATCCTTGCCATAGAGCAACAATGTTTTGCGACAAGTTGAATTCTTGATTTGGTCTCGTATTTCCTGCCTTTCGTAATGACATTGTAGCATTCCAGACATTAATTGTTAAAATACAGTAAATCGAGTGATGTTCATAAACGTGTTATGGCTGTGGGCCTTTTTAAAGCCGCAATCAAACGATGTTGGTGGTGAAAGGTAAAAATTATATTCCTATTAAACTTTAATTTGCCGTTGGGAAAAGCGATTCCTCCTCAAAATTTAATAGCTTCCACAGCTTTCAAAATATACCAAAAAACACAACTACAGATCGAGTACCAGTTATAATATGAAAAATACATTTTTAGCTATCATGCCATATCATCAACTATCGGTGCACTTTGATCAGGGCTCGTTTGAAGAAGACTTTCATGAAATGATCTGCAATTCAGATGTATTATAATACAGGAAAATCACATGACGATGACGTTGATTAAAAAACAACGCCAAACTAAAACCGTGCGCTGTTTTCAAAGCCATTTCAACGGAAAGTCAAGCAAATTGCAAGCGATTCTGCTCCTTATCTCCAGCCAATCAGAGTGCTTTATAACCGTGCGATTCAGTTTTGAGTATGCAATTCAGTTAATATTACTTGCACGGCTATCGTATTTTAAGCAGTGCTTAATATTTCAGTAACACAAAACCCATTAATACCCGCACATCGCCCAAAAGCGCCCAGAAATTGTAACCCTCCCCTAAATGCGGGCCCAGACAATTTTAGCCCTCCCCAAATGGGCGCCCAAAAAATCGCAGCCCTTCCCCAAAATTTACTGCCCCCCCCAACCTCGTTCCCAGGGCTTTTCCCATGGGAAAAGCCCTGGGAACGAGGTTGCCCACCCCCCCCCACCACAATAGTCAATGACCGCTCCCTACACTGTACTTGTATCCTGTACTTGTCTATTTATCTACAGTTTCTTTTCACAGCAGTTGCTTAGTGCCCTTCTTTCAACAAACTCATCTTCCATCATCCACAGGTGAAAACGTATTTCCTTCAGAAACTTCTGAAAACCTTTATGATTTTCCGGTGGAAAGTCTCTATCCCTACGCGCGTCATCTAGTTCAACTTCAGCATTCTGCTTATTAGTGCGAAATGGACCATATGCATGAACTTGTAGTTCATATTTTGCTACATAGTGTCGCAACACAATGAACTGTTCTAGCCAATCATCTACTCCATCCTTGACAAGCTTGCGAGGGTCACTTAGCTTCTTGTGCTGTTCTTGAGTCAGTGTGTCCTCCATCTGTTTTAAATGTTTTTTTAGTTTTCCTGTTCAATTGAGAAGAAAATAATGCATAAGAGTTAGACATTGATAGTCTCCTTTTTGCACTCAGTTGTTGTGTCATTCCTTTGTTCAGTTGGAAAATAATACTACAGGTAGATATCTAGTAGTAAACGTCAACATCAATCATTTCCTGCCTGTGAGCTGTATGTTTCTCAACATGTCATGCCTGATGCAGTTTGTTGATGAAAATAATAAACCAATGCAGACTGCTGTCTCACCAATGTTGTAACCAGTGTTGTAGCTATGATCCAGAGTCTCTTTGTTGGAATCACTGGCCGATATTGAAGTCTCTGGATAACAAAAAAGATTTTTATTAATGGTAAAAAGAATCTTCTGTAACTTTTTTGATGTTATTATCCAGTTTCGTTTAGATGAAGAAACGTTTGGCAACCAAGTGTATAGCAGTACATGTGAGGCACTTTTTCTGTGACACTACATTTCAGTCGGCACTTTGCAGTATGTTACAAACTACATGTAAGCCTCTAAGCATAGCTCTGATAGCTATTCTTCTGTTCACGTAAATACTCATGGTTACACAGAATTTAAACTGTAATGTTAAGACTGGGTAAAAAATAATAATGATAAAAATGATAATGATAATGAAGATGTAAATAAAAATAATTAACAGTATTGGTAATAATAATATATTGTAATACAGTTGAACCTGTCTCCTCAATGGCCACCTTGGGGACAGAAGAAGGTGGCCGTTGCAAACAAGTTTAAACAAGAGCCAATGTATGGAATGTCCGTGTAAAAAAGTGGCTGATGTAGAGAGGAGGCTATCATGGAGAGGTGGGCATCAGTGCAGGTTCAACTGTAGTAATTATTTATACTGCAGAAAATCATCATAATGTTTTCAAAAATGCCTCAACAATGTTTACATTAATCAAAAAACTCAAATCAAAAATTGAATTACAACTAGGTTTAAAGAAAGCAATCAACCCGTTTTTCTACACTAAAACACAGCCAAAATAAAACACTAACTAGTGAATGTACATACCAGGGATCACTGAGTCTTCTGGGAGATACTCTGCCCCTCCTGTGCCAATGTAATCTAATGCTGGGTCCCCTGATGACAGTAACATATTAATCTGGTAAGATTCCAAGGAATTTCCACAATTTTAAATTATAATTATTATTATTATGAGTATAATGTTAGTGAAATAATCTGGGGGATCTAATGGAAGTTGAACGTAAAGTATACTCAGTCATGTTATACACAAATAGACCGCTTATTACTCAAAAAACAGCTCATTTCTCTTAGAACATTTATTGTTCAATTATAAAGTAATACAGAGGGTGGCTTTGTGGAAGACTCCTATTCCAAATGTCCTGTTTTCTTCTCTTCAAGTTCTTTTGGCTGGGTGGACAGATAAGGATGACTAAGGTACATGACTATCACATGCTAATATCTTAGTTTGTTAAAATAACACCTGTTTTAAAATAAGTGAAGTTTTTGATGGTTCAGTCTTTATGAATAAAGACAACATATGGACCTCTGAACAAAAACCTAATGCCCAGTGTCCTTATAGTGGATTGAATCACCTTAATTTATTGCAGGACACTCAAGGCAATCAACCAAATGGACACCAGGCTATAATTTATTATCTAGGTTTAAGCTTTGTCCCCGCAGAACCAAAGAGAAACCATCCTATAATTTATATCTGTACACTTAGTTCTATCCAGGCAATTAATGTTGCGACGATCATCCAGGTTAATTGTCCTGCATCATAGTCTTTTCATAGTTTTTTTTCATCTTGATTGCCTGCGCGCATTTTGAAATGACTTGGAGGAACCAGGACAATCCCAAAAATGTTTAGGAAACCGGAAGTAAAGGGGAGATAACGCAAAGGCTGCCTCACCATACTGTAACGACTTTTTAACCAGTATTCTGAGCACTTCCCACTCTTTGGGTTGGTAACCAAGATTAAAACAAATTCGTAACGTTAATAAAGGAAGAAGCCGTGGTGATGCAAGAAGCTAGTGAAAGAAAAGAAAAACATTAAATTGAAAAACAAGTTTACTGAGTAGATGAAAGGGTTAGAATTTAATGGCTCTACTTAATGTAGTTGTCAACTTTGCTGTCTCGTATGTAGAGTTAAGCTA